CCAAATTGGCCATTAGGCTTATGGGCATCTGAGTGACCGTTTTTATGTAAATTGATAACACAGACATCATTCAGTGAAGAGAGTTTAGATCAGAGCTGACAACAACTGACATAATTTGATTTGCACTGATGCATTAACCATTTATTTGTCCAGACACTGCATTTAATCAGTGTTTAACCTGGGTGCACACACAACACAAACATTATCTTCATATAGCTGGAATATTGCTGAGTGCAGCGTTAAACAACAAACAAACAACATACAAGAAACAAACATCAACATCATACAATAACACAAACATCAACATCATAGAACACAAACATCAACATCATACAAGACAAACATCAACATCATAGAACACAAACATCAACATCATACAAGACAAACATCAACATCATAGAACACAAACATCAATATCATACAAGACAAACATCTACATCATACAAGACAAACATCAACATCATACAACAACATAAAAATCATCAACATCATAGAACACAAACATCAACATCATACAAGACAAACATCAACATCATACAACAACATAAACATCATCAACATCATAGAACACAAACATCAACATCATACAAGACAAACATCAACATCATACAACAACATAAACATCATCAACATCATAGAACACAAACATTAACATCATACAATAACACAAACATCATCATCACCCTTTATTAGTTTTTAAGCTGCTAATTCCCAAACCTACTTACCCATGAAGATCCAGGCTAGAATAGGGTTTCAGCAACCCATGCTTGCTGTAAAAGGCAATGTTTGTCATAAGAGGCGACTAAGGGCTTCGAGTGGTCAGGCTCACTGACTTCTTGATGTATTTTTATAGTTGATATTTGCCCTTTGACGTATGCACACACCCATATGCTGTAAATCGTGAAACTAATGCATCTCCAAAAGAATGCGACCACTGGTCCCTAGCCAAAAATGCGACTCAATATGAATGCGACACCCTGTCCTCTCAAGCATCAGTGGATTTATATCTAAAGAAAATGTCCTCTGTCAGGTTTACAGAAGAATCCTCACCGTAATCCATCTTTACATTAATCCAATCACACACCGTTCGTTCGGGGATTTAACGTGCACTTTCCGCATGTAATAAATGACATTTAGCGTATCTCGCACACGGGGAAGCACTTATACTAAATAGGAAAAAAAGCGTAATGAATAAATAAGAAGTGTGACCCCAAAAAATGTAAATGAAGTAAACCTAAAAATTTAATCTAGGGGGATGGGTTTGGCTTGGTGGGATGGGGGGTGTAAAAGAATAATAATAATGTGGAAAAGTTGGGCTTGGGTGGGGGGGGGAGGGGGTCAAGCGTGGAAAGGCACGGCGTCGGCTGGCGAGCTGGTGTGGCGAAGGAAGTTACTGCTTCTTCCCAGCCAGGAGCCTCCTGGCTAGGTCGAGCTCTCCTGGAGGAAGAGCTCGGAACAGTGCGGTGGTGAGGCGGGCGGCGGTGTTGGTGATGAAGAGCGGGCTGACTGGGAGATCACAGTCGACCAGGAATTCTGAGAGATCCTGGTAGCTGTGGATCTTGTGCTCAAACCTTTCTTCACCCCAGTACTGCACCAGCAGCAAGGGTGGGTGTGGGCGGTTGCTGGGGTAAATCTTGCCGCTCTCATTCTGGTAGCAGGGGTTAGGGTGGACCTTGTGCTGCTCCAGGATGAGGTCTGCCTGCTGTGCAAGGTGGGCACGGACGTCTACCTCAACATCTTGTTCCGGAACCGGGTCGGTTTGGACTTGGCTGGTGTTGAGGGAGGGGCCCTGTGGCGGTCTGCGTTTCCGTGGTCTTGCAGGTTGGAGGTGATGGGAGGGGGGGAGAGTCAGGGGAGAAGATACTTTTCCTTTTTCTCTTTTTCCTCCCGTGGCCAGTCCCTACCGGCGTGCGAAAGGGCTCCTCCCCTCTGGATTCGAGAGGAGCGAGTTCCAGTGCAGCTGTCGGGGGCGGAGGGGTGGTGGGAAGGCTCTCCTGGATCTCCAAGGGGGTGATTGGTGGAGCCTTCTTCACTGTAGGCGGCCTGGCCTTCTGTACCGGGCGTAGGGGCCGGGGTCTTCTTCTCCTTAGGCTTGGTCTTGGCCGGAGCCTTGACCAGAGGCCTTTTCCTTTGGCCTAGGTCAAAGGAGATGGAGAGGGTGGATGAGTTGGACTTGTACGAAGTCCGGAGGGAGTAGTCCCCAACCCTGTAAGCCAGCAAGGGCTCCAGGATGGCAACTAGCTCCCTAGGTAGCGATAGAGCGATATCTCCCATAGTAGAGCGTGGGTTGCGAGCTAGGAAGGACACGTCTGCACAGGGCGAGTGTCCATACACCAAATAGCACCGCTTATTAGTGCTGAGTAAAGTACTTCCGCTAAAACAATACATGCGCGCTGGCTCGTGTCGGCCTTTGACGCAGTCGCAAAGAACAAAGACACCGTGTTGCGTGGGTGGCGTCTGTGGGGACTTGCAGGTGTGATCAGTGATGACATAAGTGAGTAGAACGCTTGTCTTGCCCCCAGCAGTGACAATTCACATGATTTAATTTGTGTTTGAATGACAATGGTTATATACTTACTACAAGTGCTGCTAAAAAAATCAGTGTTGTGGAATACATAGCTGTTTGTTTTCAGCGTATGTCTAAGTTGGTATTTTCTCCTATCCAAAATGTTTTATTGTTGATACAAATGCGATGTTTAATAATGCGAACAAAGACCACTCACATTTTTCGCATTTAATTCATGCTCGTGTTAATTTCAATATTTACAGTATCACTTATTGTCCATAAACATCTCAGAAACTACTTCACAATTAAGCTGAAACTGGACATCACTGATGAGGACACCAGGGATTATTAATCGGGTTCAAATCCGATTTCAATTGTCAGGTATTTCGGCAGTTATGAATCAGAAATATGGAGTAAAGATGGCCTGTAGTAAGCTTTAAAGATCATGCAGTATTTTTTTTTTGTATTTATATTTCATCTTCATTTGAGTGAGTAATGAGTTGGGTTTAACGCCGCTTTTAACATTATTACAGTTGTATTGCAGCGTGACAGTTTAATGTGGGAGGTGGGAAGTGATGCAGGTCTCCGATGTTCACCACTTCAGTGAAACCCACAAGCACGGGTATGGTGCTGACAAACCTAGAAACGTTATTGGGGCGAAGCTGGATTTGAACCTACAATCATATTTTTCTGGTGTGCCCAAGGGAAGCAACTCTGCACAGCGTATCGCAGCGCCTTAGACGACTGGGCCACCATGCCCCACCTTCACTTGAACTGTAGCAGGACATATATAGCAGTTTGGTGTTACAATCTGCAGACAATAGTTTACAGTTAGGGTATATGTAATTAGATTAGGTGTTACCTTTTCACAAGGTATTTTGAGGGGCATTGACAAACACATTTGGCAAGAGCCTGAGTCATACACCCGAAACACTTTTAACAAATGTGAATCATAGTCCTGTGAATCAAAGGAGCTTGGTGAAGAGTGACAATTATGGTATTTGTTTAATGTGCGAATGTGTTTCAAGATAATAGTATTCAATCTTTCATACATTATTTTTTCAAATATGGGTGATTAGTGCCACCGTATACACCTATTTGTAATCATTTCTTGTGTGTACAATTTAAATCGACTGATTAAACATCTTATTTTACTGAAAGACTGATCTTATAGAAAGGGTATGACACTCTTTTTCATTAAAGTTAAACAATATTTAAGTGCAATAATTCTTAATTTATGCTATCTAAATATTTGCCGGTTTACACAGTTTGTCACAACCCAATATACAGTGTTAAGGTCTCCCTTGAGACTTTAGTTAAGTCATACTGTTGTGCATGGATTCTCATGGAGGGCTATTCTTTACAGCTTTCCTCCCATCACCTGATTCAAACTTCATCATTATGCTAAACTGCCTCCAGTTTGGACTAGCAGCCCAGTGGCTGGACATCTCATTACCATGCCCAGCTACAAAATTAAAGGCTAATTTCGCAAAATCAAAGAAATAATTTTGCAAAATCAAAGAATTAATTTTGCAAAATCAAAGAATTAACCTGCTTGAACAACAATGGGAAAATCGCTCAAAGTGCAACCTGGTTTCTGTGACATATGTAAGAAACATGCATCCCACGTGTCGAACCAGTACAGTGATAACCCAACCACTTTTGGCCTATAAAGTGTCTAAATCGAGAACATGGTATATCAAGCCCTTCAGGGCTCAGTCAGCGGCAAGGATGGAATATTTGTCCCAGGCTTCATGCAGGGTTCAATCCCTGGGTCTGTCAGCAGTGGCAAAAGTTTCAATAGCATATTTTATCGCCTGACGGTCTGTCACTCAGAGATGTGCAGACACGCCCCTTGGCACAATATCAGTAGCTCCACCCCTTGATGGTGCATCGGGAGTTACTGTACAGGTAACATCAAAGGGAAAACACTGCAACCATGCTACACTTCAAGGGCGATCTTGCATATAAACCCGAGATAGGATTTCCCTTTGTGATACTTGACATAAAGAAAATATAGTCATGCTAATTATTGACAGTAAATTACATTCGGAAGTATTTGAATAATATAACAACTAAATTTAGTTTGACTAAAAATATCTGCAGACACAGGGATTTTAGAAGCAAACACACTCTACAAAAGATCTTCCTGTGACCTTCACCTTAAATGGAGGTCACTGGGGACCTTCTCCAAGTTCAGCCACCCTAAAGAGGATGATATGTACAAAATGTACTTAACAGTAATTCCTTCTTGTGATGAAAAATCTGGTTTTGGTGCATGACCTTGACCCTTGCAAGGCAGATCAATGTCACAAAAAAGCTTCTCAGGCTTCAAAGAAGATACACATGATATGATATCCCCAAGAACTTTGTATGGCAGCTGCAGTCAAATTCAGACATAACTTCAGGAATAATATTTAAATCAAACAAATTACAGCTGGGTCAACCACCGTTTATCATTATCTTTGGCTGTCAATTTACAGAGAGTAATTACCTGCATGACAGTTGTCAAGGACATCTCGGCGCAGGTCAAGGACACTTGACAGCTTCACATCACGGCGATGCTGTGCTTCACTGGTTGATGTGCTAGGTTTTGGAGACATTCCAGCTCTTGCTACATTGTCACTAGATAAAACAAAAACAAATTATTTTAGAGTGAGTGAATAAGTGAGTGAGTGAGTATAGTACTCTTTAAGTCTCCGGCTCATGGTATAAAACCTACGTGGGACGCATAAAACCACTTATCATACCTCCATGTCAGAATGATGAGATCTGATTGGTTCACGTGATCTTGATAAAATACCATGGATCCTGCCTTGGGAGGGAAAATAATTTCTCAGCGATAGAATAAATCCCTTATACCGGTCCATGAAAAGACAGGCTGCACATGGATTTCTGAGAGGCAGAATAAATCCCCCAAAGTGTGGTTTTTGAGTCAATGAAATGGAGGTACTATAAATCTGTTTGCAATACTCCTGCCATATCACAAACCCGAAAATAACCCATCCAAAAGTAAGAAACTGCTTCTAATACAGAAATGTTTTTACTGTGACCTTGACATATAATTCGTGATCAGTTGGTGTCCTAACTTTAGAATTCAGCATCATAAAGTTTACAAACGTGTCAGAATACCATATGACGTCATTTGTGAAATCTTTAACAAGACATACTGGTGAAACAATGCCCTGTGATATCAGCCTAGAGGTGCTGGCGTTATCGAGTGTGCATAAGCTCAACATGCACTGTCATTAAATAAACCCACTGATGTTGAGAGTTCTTACAGTCAACATATTTATGTTTTAGGAGCCAAAGAGATTACAAATGGGAACTAATACACATATATTATTTCCTATTATTTTCACTATGATTCAGGGGAGTACAGCTTATAAGGTAATTACTTATTGATGCTTCATACATCAGCATCTTGTGGCTTGCAGTATGGGACAAGTGCGTCAAATGGCTTCTGGATCTGTAGTTCAGTTAGCTAACAATCTGAAGGTAGTGAGTTCGAGTCGGACAGATTCTCACAAAAACTGGTTGCTTGTCTTAATGACATGTGACCTTCAGCAGAATTTGTACTCATGAAAACTTGTGGTACTTGTAGGTTTGTGACTCTGTGGCCTTGACCTTGAAACTTAATTAGACCCACCAGGCAGTTGTCTAGTGAATGATGGCGTGATTCATGCCAGCAATATCATATCAGCAAACACCAAACATGATGGGCAACAAACACTGTATGATGAGGTTAATTCAGCCCAGGGTCTTGGACAAGACCAGTGATGACACTGTCACATTTGGATGGATCTGTATACTGCACTGTGCAGCCTCTCCATAGTGTTGTCCAGTAAACAAATATGTATTCCTCGGATCACAGAAAATATTTCCCCAAAGAGTTGTCATGGGTACTTCCTGGTCACTTTTCAAATGAATGGACGGTCGACAGAATCACAATGTATTATTCTATACCACACTTATCCAGATAGTTGTATCTGCTCAAATGTGGTTTGATAGAAAGAGGACTTCCTAATTATGACTGGCAAGAAAACAATTAATACCTCACATATCAAACAAAAATGACAAGACAGTTTAGCATAGAAAAGCAAAACCTTTGAAAATTGTTGCATGATTTTGGTGAATACTGACATATATAAAAATCAGTAGTAATGAACAAACGAATTGAAAGAGTGAAAGTTTGTTAGTCAAGAAAGCCTACTTTCAGATCAGTCGCCAGAGGATTGTTTACATGTATATAAAGGACAATGGTAAATGTCACAGGCCACTGTTGCATGAGGGTTGACAGTATTCCACTGTATGTGATCAAGTTTAGACAAACACTTTTAAATGTCTACCTTTCTTCATCATCAATTTCCATGGTGTCATCCTGACTTGTGGAAGATGATGGCCGACTGCTACCACTGGCTGATGGTGCACTCGGATTGGTTGAACTGACTGATGCTTCCTTCTGATTGGTGGATGGTCTGTTTAAGAATGCATCAAGCTTCTGTTCCTTGCTGTCTGTTCGGACAAGGTGATGTGCATATACCTTCCCACCATCTCCTGGAATGATTTCAGTGATTCAGATCCTTTACCTTCACAAAGTACAAAGGTCATGTGGTGCAGGATATCATCAATAAAAACTGTGAGCATGAGGCTCACCTTGACCACCGTCAAACTGTATTGGACCAATATCATATCTGTATGCACTAAGTTGAAACTAAGAGGTTCATCAATTGGTAATATTTGGTAACTTCATTTTGATATAATCTATATATACAGTTTTTTTATTTGACTATACTACCTGCCGTTCATGTGGGTGTATCTGTACCCACTTGCCCAAAATACACTGACATCTGTCATGGTGAGCAGCATGACACGTGGTGCTGTGATGGATGATGTTTGTTTAATTCTGCACTCACCACGCCAGCCATATAAAGGTGGTCTGTAAATAATTATGTCTGGACCAGACAATCCAGTGATTGATATTGTGAACAACATTTCACGTTGTCAGGGTACGATGAGTCCTAGCCTCATGACCTGATCCGATTGGGTGCCTCTTATGGTCAGCATAGGCTGCTGGGAAGCAATTGTAACCTGGAACCTCCTTGGGGAGGCAAGGATCATGTGGCACTGCATCCAACAACAGTTGTCACAGAGATAGGACATGAAATACACCAGCAACCAAGGCAAAGTGACTGGGAATTGAACCCTCTATAGGCATGCAGCAAATAGTATGTGAACTTATTTCTATCTTGCAACATTACATCTGTCTTCATGGTAGAAAGGAGGCAAGCGAACTGTGTTTTCAACATCTTTATTCGTTATCTGAATATATTTCTTTAATTACAACACCTTGTGTGTCAGTACTCCTGAGAGCAGTTGCTCTAGGATCCTCAAATACCAGGAATCTGAGTTTTGTTTAGTGGCACTGATTTTGACAACATGCTGATAACATAATGAGAAATGATATTCTGTGTACAGGAAATATGGTCCCCTATGGAATAAAAAAAAGATAGGTCAAATGTATCATCCGTTGAGAATCCCACAACATCATTACAGCCAGACATTTTTGTCCATCAGATTATTCTCTTGGGAACACCCAAAAAATCTGTATTTTACTTTCAGCTAATACAAAACATTTGGAGGGAGTCAGTGGTCAGTGAAGTGGCCAAGAGAGTGGCGGTCAGTTAAGTGGATAAATGGGTGAGTTGGTAGTCAAAGTCTTAGGAGAAGTGGGTGAGTTTGCAGTCTAGTTAGTGGAAAAGAGGGTGAGTTGATGGTAAAGTTGTGGAGAAGTGGCCAAGATGATGGTTAAGTTGTGGAGAAGTGGGTGAGTTGATGGTAAATGTGTGGAGAAGTGGGTGAGTTGATGGTAAAGTTGTGGAGAAGTGGGTGAGTTGATGGTAAATGTGTGGAGAAGTGGGTGAGTTGATGGTAAAGTTGTAGAGAAGTGGGTAAGTTGATGGTAAAGTTGTGGAGAATCGGGTGAGTTGATGGTACAGTTGTGGAGAAGTGGGTGAGTTGATGGTAAAGTTGTGGAGAAGTGGGTGAGTTGATGGTAAATGTGTGGAGAAGTGGGTGAGTTGATGGTAAAGTTGTGGAGAAGTGGGTGAGTTGATGGTAAATGTGTGGAGAAGTGGGTGAGTTGATGGTAAAGTTGTAGAGAAGTGGGTAAGTTGATTGTAAAGTTGTGGAGAATCGGGTGAGTTGATGGTACAGTTGTGGAGAAGTGGGTGAGTTGATGGTAAAGTTGTGGAGAAGTGGGTGAGTTGATGGTACAGTTGTGGAGAAGTGGGTGAGTTGATGGTACAGTTGTGGAGAAGTGGCTGAGTTGATGGTAAAGTTGTGGAGAAGTGGGTGAGTTGATGGTAAAGTTGTGGAGAAGTTGGTGAGTTGATGGTACAGTTGTGGAGAAGTGGGTGAGTTGATGGTATAGTTGTGGAGAAGTGGGTGAGTTGATGGTTAAATTGTGAAGAAGTGGGTGAGTTGATGGTAATGTTGTGAAGAAGTGGGTGAGTTGATGGTAAAATTATCGAGAAGTGGGTAAATTGGTTCTAATGTTTGGGGAAAAGTCGGATAGTAGTCGTTGGTAAAGTCTTCAGTGTTTTGGGGACCTATCCCTCATCTACAGACATACTTGGGGTATAAGTCATGTGCCATAAGTCCTCTCCTCTTACCTGCAGCGATGTCAGACTGGCTGGATGCGTCTTCCTCCAGAGAAACAGGGGCGCCAGGTAACAAAGCCTGAAGAAGAGAGGTGCACTCAAATAGTTGTAGAAGAGTGTTTCAGTCTCCTATTAACACACATTGGAAGCTATAGTAATTCAAAATGACAACCCTGAAGTTCAAAGTGAAGGTCATGAGTAAAATTTGAATTTTCACTTGAATTTTCTGGAAAGTTATTACATCAGAAAGCTCATACATGGGTCAAGAGGACAAGATGTTGATATGAATGTAAATATTGTCAAAAACACTAAATGGGGAGGGAGCCACGTAGGTGTGTCACTTTTGCTCAACACCAGTGTTCATTCCGACAAAAACATATGTGTAACCTAAGAGGGAGAGGCAAGGCAAACAACAAGATGCAACACAACAGACATTCTCACAACATGGTAACTTGCTTATAGGAGCATGTTGCTCAAACAATAGGATTGTCCTGACATGATTGGCAGCCACAGCTGTCTGAAATGTAGCAGAATGAAAATATTGTGCATTTTAACTTCTTTAGTATTTGTATTTATCATAAGGACCTGATATTTTAGTCTTGTTAAATATGCTTTTATCCTTTTAATTGCCTATCTGTCATATAGTATAATTTGCAGTATCATCCACATGTAGGTATTCTGGGGGTGAACAGGTGTCTTATACCCCATGCTTCACTGAAGGTATTCTGGGGGTGAATAGGTGTCTTATACCCCATGCTAGTTTCCCTGTAGGTATTCTGGGGGTGAATAGGTGTCTGATACCCCATGCTAGTTTCCCTGTAGGTATTCTGGGGGTTAATAGGTGTCTTATACCCCATGCTAGTTTCCCTGTAGGTATTCTGGGGGTGAATAGGTGTCTTATATCCCATGCTAGTTTCCCTGTAGGTATTCTGGGGGTGAATAGGTGTCTTGTACCACATGCAAGTCTGCACGGGTATGGTGCTGACAAACCTAGAAACATAATTGGGGCGAACCGGGATTCGAACCAACAATCATAGGTTTCTGGCGTGCCCAAGGGACGCAACTCTGCACAGCGAATCGCGGCGCCTTAGACGACTGAGCCACCCGTGCCCCCTAATTTGTGAGAAGCAAAGGCGCCAGTTTAGCACTTGTCTGATGTATGAATAGAAAGCTTCATAAATAAATATTGAATGGTTTATAAGTTAAGTTCTGAAACTGAACGTGATGGATGGACAGAGTACATAACTTTACCCCTGACCCAATTTGTTTGGCACAATTATTTCCATGCTGCAGTAAATTTTTTCAGAAAGCTTAACATGCCTGTGTCATCCATGTGAAATCGTCTATCACTTTTTCTTGAATGTTCTCATTAAAATGCCATTAGAACTTCATCATACAACAACATTTCAACAGATGGAGGTCATTTCTCAATCCAAACAATTCTCTATGGTGATATTTCATGCTCATTCTAACATAACGTTACATTTGTTGAACCACTGTCAACATCTCACTTGACGCCTGGCACACATCATTCATCACAGCAATAGTTCACGACTATATTGATTACTACCGGTACTTTTTCCATGGAAGCTAGTGTCACACTTTGTATGCATGTTACTTATTTCAATATTTCCACTTGTCCCCTCTCTGCATAAATACTTAATGAAAGGGTGTGGTAAGTTTGACCTTATAATGTCAATGAGTGAGTGAGTGAGTGAGTATGGTTTTACGCCAGCTTTAGCAATATTCCAACAATATCACGGCGGGGGACACCAGAAATGGGCTTCACACATTGTACCCATGTCGGGAATCAAACCCGGGTCTTCGGCATGACGAGTGAACGCTTTAACCACTAGGCCACCCAACTGCACCTAAATGTCAATGAAATATGTTTAAAACAAAGCAGAGATGCAATACTGCCCATTGTGGACTGACACAGCACGTACAGCGTGTTGACACTGCTCTGTACAGTGCTGTTTGCCTTCATCTGCAAGGGATAAAGCATCAGTTTCATAATCATTCTAAATGATGACAGTATGGTTGGAATGGTCCCTAGGAGAATATAAAACATTTTCAAAGCTGACAAAATATTTGTGTTTGCACACTCCCCTACTTCATTGATCACTAACACACCAATCCCAATCCACCTGTGGGTGGTGAAGACTAGCTGTGGCCATGTCATGTGGCTCAGTGAGTCTTCTTTACCATTGGGACTGTTGACACTTGACAGCTGATGGTTAAACTCCAACAAAAACCTCAACCCATTCCATGATGGATGATGGATGATGAAAGGTGCAAGTGATGGGAAGAAATAGTAAACACATTTTTGGAAATTGACAAACATAATATGATATTTCATTCTAAAGTTCAACTTAATTGTTACAATGGAAATGCAAAAGGTACTCATCAAACAGTCTCAATCCTTCCTGTATGTGGAATGAACTCATTAACCAAAGACATGTGGGAAGTTTACTCATCAAACAGTCTCAATCCTTCCTGTATGTGGAATGAACTCATTAACCAAAGACATGTGGGAAGTTTACTCATCAAACAGTCTCAATCCTTCCTGTATGTGGAATGAACTCATTAACCAAAGGCATGTGGGAAGTTTACTCATCAAACAGTCTCAATCCTTCCTGTATGTGGAATGAACTCATTAACCAAAGACATGTGGGAAGTTTACTTATCAAACAGTCTCAATCCTTCCTGTATGTGGAATGAACTCATTAACCAAAGACATGTGGGAAGTTTACTCATCAAACAGTCTCAATCCTTCCTGTATGTGGAATGGACTCATTAACCAAAGACATGTGGGAAGTTTACTCATCAAACAGTCTCAATCCTTCCTGTATGTGGAATGAACTCATTGTTTTGAACTTGTTTTACCCCTTCTCATCATAACATTGGCTATGATATGATGAGTAGTGATGGCAAATGTCTCACCAATACAGTAGTGGGTCACAATTCACATGTATGAAATATGCGACGGAAGTATCCTACTATAGCGACAAAGGTGTGTGGATGTGACATTCCTTCAGGGGAGATAACTCCCTTACAGTGTAGCCTGTTCACAGAGCTCTCTGTACTGTTGCTGCTACCAGTCACAGCCCCCCACTGTACAACCGACTGACAGTTAACTTTCCCAAAGACATACACACAAATATCGAACAATAATTTATCATTTTTAATGATTCTAAGAATACTACCTCTATTACATATCTGCCATAAATCCTGTATTTTGACTTCAATCACATTAACTAAAGTTTTCAGATTTTCAACAGACGTCCTCTTCACTGTCAATTACACACAACTAGTTGTCGTCAAGTAATCTCGTAACTACCCAAGCCAGGACATCATAATGGCTTCAACCTCACTTTTTTCTCCATGAAATCTCCATGAAATCTCCATGACTTCTTCATCTCCTACTAGAGGTAGATGAAGTGAGGAGGTGGGAGGGAGTAATTTGTATGTAATAGAGGTAGTATTCTTAGAATTATTAACAATGATAAACTATTGTTCGATAATTCTTACGAAACTTCCACCTCTATTACATATCTGCCAGAATATAGCAGAGAGAGCCTGGAGGGATTGGCCTCTGTAGGTCTTTTTCTACCCCAAAGACGTCATTTCCTGGTTAGAGGGACTAGCTGTTCTGGTGCTGATGTCACTTCCGGTTATTCTATCACTTCCGGTAATGACATCACGTCCGGTTTAATGGTGATAGTTGACCTTTATGGTGCTTCTACTCCATGCTACACCTAATAAGCAGAATAATCAAGGGTCTACTCACCCTCTGATGCTGCTGTTGTCGGATTCTCACCGCCCCTCTTTTTTTTTTATAGAAGGGGTGAAACTATTGGCGGACAACTGGACCAAGGAAATATATGACCTATAAGTCCGGCTGAACATCACCTAAGTAAAAGCTGGTAAATGTGTTTTGTGAGGCCCACTGACAGCTAGAAACTACTTGTTCTACTGAGACTGTTGTCCATGAAGCGAGACTCATGGCAGGGCTCTTATTTCGTGAACTGAGCAGTATTCGAGACGTGGCGTGGAATTCTGAGCCTGTGTATAACTTTGTGCAACTGTGGATTTCATCCATCCTGCCTTGGTGATATTTGAGTTGGATAGGATAGGAAGAGTCTCCTCCGATGGCATCTCTGTGGGTCTGTAACTGAGAGAAAGAACTTGAGAGCATGGATGGGAGTCTGTCTGGGTGATCCACTGTTGGTCCTAATTCAGGAATTGTATAGTTTCTATGACCCAACGGTCCCATTGTGGTAGATTGGTTCTTGGCTACAAATTCTGGGAGAAATCTCAAAGTTATTGAGGTCCAATGTTGATCATGGGTAAGGCTAGAATAGTCTAAGTCATGTAATTCTGAAACTCTTGCTGCTGTTAACATGGCTAGGAGAAACCATGTTTTCCTGGCTTTTTTAAGTAGGGTAGCCTTAGCTCGTAAGGTTCCGTTAACAGTGCCAATAGTACTACAGATAGATGGGGAAGATACGAGGAGTTTTAATATCTTCTAGTAGAAAGAATCTCATTAGGCTGTTTAGAATGGGATAGTTTCCAATTGATAATCTGTCATGTTGAAGAACAGAATAAAGGGCTGATCTGTAACCTTCTATCGTCCCGTGTCTGAATTTATTGTCTTGATGTAGATGAAGTAGAAAATCCGCTACCATAGGGATTGACACAGCATTTGTAAAATCCCTAGTCGTCTTCTCCACTTGACAAACTTGTCCCATCTGTTGAAAGGAAGGATGAAGGTCGCCACAATCTTGCCACAGCTTCTGAGGCAAGCTCAGGGTATCCGGATGTCTGTGAGATAACTTCCAGGTGGTTAGATTTTCGCGAAATATGCTGGACTTTGGTTGTCGTAGCAGATCTCGACGAAGTGGTAATTGTATAAGTTCCTCCATTAGTAGCTTTAGTAGTCTCGGGAACCATGCCCTGCTGGGCCATATTGGAGCTATATTACGCAATTCGTCTCCTCCACCTTGTGGATGACTTTGTCTAGGAATGTGGGAATGTGTAGCTGAATAGATTCGTCCAATCCATCAAAAGAGCATCGATCTTGTAGGCTCTTGTGGGTCGGGAACTAGGCTGACATAAACCAGAAGTTGGTTGTTCTGACAGGTTGCGAAAAGATCTGTATGTGGTATGTCCCATATCTTGGTTATCCAGTTGAAGATCTGTGGATGTAATGTCCATGCTGTTGGCACTATTCTCCCCTCTGACGTGAAAGACTGTCGGCCAGTATGTTCTGTTTCCCGGGTATATGTATCGCTTCCATCTGGCAATTGAAGGAGTCCGCCAAGGCAAACAATCGTGTAGTCTCCATCATCAGGGAGCTGGATCTGGTCCCTGCCTGCTTCTGAATATATGCCACTACTGTGGTGTTGTCTGTGGCTATGAGAACCGATGATAGATGAAGCTGTGTTCTCCATTCTAGGATGGCGTAATATATGGCCTATATTTCCCTGCAGTTGATATGAAGGTTCTTCTCCTGTGTTCCACAGTCTCTGTACTATGAGGTCATCCATATGATCCAAAAGATATGAATCTGACGTGTCTGTGAATAGATGGTGTTCGGGCGTTGGACATGTTCTCTGTGATTCCAACAATGGAGGTCTTGTAGTAATCTGGGAGGTAACTGAGTCTGGAACTCTAGGCTGTGAGATCGTATAGAGTTGATCCATGTCTGTAAAGGGCGTAGCATCAGCCTTCCTCTGAAGGTCATATCCTGTAGAGATGTTAAGTTACCTAGCAGAGACATCCACTCTGCTGGGTTGACATGAAAGTGATTGAATCATCTTTATAGTCTTGTCGAATCGATCCTCTGGTGGACATAGATATCCCCTGTATAGCTGGAATCTTGCTCCGATATATCTAATGTCTTGAAACGGAGTGATCTCTGACTTGGCTGGGTTGACTCGGAAGCCTAGGACCAAGAATATCATGTTTTGATGTAGCTGATATTTTCCTTGGTCTGCCCCTAGGAAATCGTCAAGATAGCCATGGATTCAAACTAGCTGGAGATGATGAGTGAACTTGATGACTGGTGCTGTAATCCTGGTGAATAGCCAACCGGCTATTGCTTTCTCGAATGGTAGGACTTGGAATTCGTAGTGTTGCCCATTGATTGCGAAGCATAGATACTTCCGAGATGCTGGGTGTATCGGGATGTGAAGATATACATCTGTCAGGTCTAGGCTGATCAGCCAATCTCCTTTCTTCAACGTCGACCTTAATTTCCGTATGAACTCCATCTGGAATTTTGGCAGATATCTCCTGTTGAGGGTCTTTAGATCTATAATCATCGTCATCTCGGTTGTATTTTTCTTTGGGACTAAAAAGACTGGGGAGTAAAAACCTTTGGGGTTGTTAGTTTACATTAGTTCCCGAATAGCTCGCTTCTTTAGTAGTTTCCTGACGGACAATTCTGCAGCTGCTAAGTTGGCTCTCCGGTCAGGTGAAATCTTCGGCCCACGGCGTGAGTGTTCAGGTTTGGGTGTTTCCTGAAGTGTAGCTTGTATCTGTCAGCCACGACGTCTAGAATCCATTGTTCAGGCATAATTTGCTTCGAATTTTCGGTGTACGACAGAAGCCGGAGTCGGTGTTATGTTAAAAGACAGTAGCCGTAAATCGCAATCCATAGACATAACCAGGTCAAAATGGTCTATAACGTCAGAGGGGGTGGTAAGGAAGGCAGAATTTTCTTTCCCCTCTGCCTCCCGATCTTCCAAGGCGATTACATCCCTGTTTCTTGAAAAGAATCCTGTGAAGATTGTTGTTTGTCGTACCTCCGCCTCAGTTGGAATGAATCCTTTCGGGAGGAGACAAACTTCTTCTTAGGAGGCTGTTTGGACGCAGATAACTTATGGTCCCAGGGTGGCTTGTGAGACTGTGATGACGCGTAGCTGGGCCAAGGTAACGTATGATGAATATGTCGAGATGGAGCAGGCGCATGACATCCCCCGTATTCCGGCATCTGGGGTGGTGAATCCTCTGTCACATGTGGCCGAAGTGTAGGCATAAGGTGGTAAAGCTCTTCGATAAGTTCCACAAAAGTGTAGTCTTTGGTGTAATCTCGTTTGGGTGAGTTGTCAAGCTCCTCCAAACCCTCTGATTCCGGCTCTGAGTAACCTTGGGAATCTCCCGTGTTGGGTGGATAATTGTATCCCTCAGCTTCCGCCCCGTAGGGCTCGTCATCCTCTGGTGACCATGATTCCAGTATGATATGTCTTCGTTAGGCTTGTAACCCGTGTGTAATGGTAGCCATGCCAGGGCTGTTTTCTCAGCTGAACAGCTGGCTGGGTAGTCCCATGGAGTCCGTGCGACTGGCTTGGATCCCGTTGGATGGTCAAACGGTAAGCTGTGGTCGGTAGGCTGGGTAGCCGTGGGTGGCTGGCTCATGGAGTCTGTGCGGTGGCTGTATGGTTCCTGCACGGTTGGCTGGCTGGACAGCTGTCGGTTGGAATGCTGTGGGAGGCAGGCCCATGGGGCCATACGGTGGCTGGCTGGTATGACTGGCTGGCTTGGTTGCCTTGGACGGCCTGTCCATGGATACCGTGCGGCTCCTGTAAAGAATTGTTCACTGTGATAGCTGGCTTGGTGACTGGTCCATGGGTAGGCAACCGGGAGCCACGCCGTGGCCCATGGCCATGCATCAACCAAGTCAGCGAGCCTGACCACCCGATCCTGTTAGTCGCCTCTTATGACAAGCATAGTCACTTTTTATGGCAAGCATGGGTTGTTGAAGACCTATTCTACCCCGGATCTTCCCGGGTAGGATGACTTGGTTGCTGTGGAGGGCCTGTCCATGGACACCGTGTGGCTCCCATACGGTATTGTCCCATGGGTGGATAAAGCCTGCTGGCTTATATCCGGCTGGTTTGCTGCTGTCTGGCCAGCTGGCTGGCTAGATGACTGGTCTATAGGCTGGCTGTGTGGCTCAGCTTGTTGATCTTGTGTAGATAGGCCTATGGCCGTGGACGAATATCTGATAGTCTTTGCCAGAGCTATCTTCCTGATCTTATTGTCCATATCTGACAGCTTAGTCTCTAGCATGTCCTTCACCATCTCCTGCTGTTCTTTAACAGTTGGTGCCTAAGACTCATGGTGAGTGTAAGAGATGGTGGGTCGGCTGGAGAGGGAGGCGCTGGAGTGGAAACTGATTTCTCAGTTAGGATGTTGTCCACTTTCTTCTTGGCAGCCTCGCGCCTCTTGGCCTTAGTCACAGCCTCGGACATCTTGGAGAAGATCTTCTCGGATATGTCACTGCATTGCACACATCTCTTCTCCATGCTGCCGGTCTTTCCTCTGCACTTCATGCAGTTTACATGAGGATCTCCCGTGACTACTTGGCTACAACAAGTTGTGTGTAATTGACAGTGAAGAGGACATCTGTTGAAAATCTGAAAATTTTAGTGATTGAAGCCAAAATACAGGATTTATGGCAGGCATGTAATAGAGGTAGAAGTTTCATAAGAATTATAAATGTTGCAACATTTGGGGGTAAAAGGAAAGTTTTCAAGATTCTTGTAAAGGCTGCTTGCACGCTGGAGGCACCAATGACACCTGGAGGTTAAAGAAGGTGTTACACACATTCCCCAAAGGGCAATAACTCACCTTTACCGAAGTGACTTTACCTACGGGACACCAACTCGGTCACCTTCCTGGATATGACATTTCCTAAGGGGCACTAACTCCCTCACCTGTGTGAAGAATGTCCTGGAAGCATTCGAGCCGAGAAGCTTGGACTCCACTGTTGCCTGAATACTCTCGATGATGGCGTCCTCATGCAGGAAGTGAACTTCATGCTTTGTTGGATGGACATTCACATCAACATTCTGGGCAGATATCTCAAGGCTGAACAATAAACATTAATCATGATAAGATCCATTTTACTGTAAAGGTGGCATTTCTGTATAGATCCTTATACCGTTGTATATATGTCGAATAAGAATAAGGGGAATAAGCTAATCTCCGCAGTTGGATAACGGGAATAAGCTGATCGCTGGAGTGAGTGAGTGAGTGAGTGAGTGAGTGAGTGAGTGAGTGAGTGAGTGAGTGAGTGAGTGAGTGAGTGAGTGAGTGAGTTGGGTTAAACGCTGCTTTTATAGTATTTCAGTTATATCAAGGCGTGTCAGCTTAATGGACGAGGAAAGCCTGAAGTGATACAGGTCTTAGATGTTTACCACTTCTGTGAAACCCACGAGCACTGGTATGGTGCTGACAAACCTAGAACCATAATCAGGGCGAACTGGGATTCGAAACCCGAAATCATAGGTTTCTGGCGTGTCCAAGGGACGCAACTCTGCATGGCGAATTGCGGCGCTTTAGACGACATGGCCACCCGTGCCCCCAATAAGGGGTACAAGCTGTTTTCCGAAGTTGGATAAGGGGAATTTGCTGATCTAAGGAGTTAGATAAGGGGAACAAGCTGATCTCCGGAGTTGGATAAGGGGAATAAGCTGATCTCCGGAGTTGGATAAGGGGAATAAGCTGATCTCCAGAGTTGGATAAGGGGAATAAGCTGATCTCCAGAGTTGGATAAGGGGAATAAGCTGATCTCCGGAGTTGGATTAAGGGGAATAAGCTGATCTCCAGAGTTGGATAAGGGGAATACGCTGATCTCTGGAGTTGGATAAGGGGAATAAGCTGATCTCCGGAGTTGGATAAGGGGAATAAGCTGATCTCCAGAGTTGGATAAGGGGAATAAGCTAATCTTCAGAGATGGATAAGGGGAATAAGCTGATCTCTGGAGTTGGATAAGGGGAATAAGCTGATCTCCAGAGTTGGATAAGGGGAATAAGCTGATCTATGGAGTTGGATAAGGGGAATAAGCTGATCTCTGGAGTTGGATAAGGGGAATAAGCTGATCTCCAGAGTTGGATAAGGGGAATACACTGATCTCCGGAGTTGGATAAGGGGAATAAGCTGATCTCTGGAGTTGGATAAGGGGAATAAGCTGATCTCTGGAGTTGGATAAGGGGAATAAGCTGATCTCCGGAGTTGGATAAGGGGAATAAGCTGATCTCTGGAGTTGGATAAGGGGAATAAGCTGATCTCTGGAGTTGGATAAGGGGAATAAGCTGATCTCCAGAGTTGGAAAAGGGGAATACACTGATCTCCAGAGTTAGATAAGGGGAATAAGCTGATCTCTGGAGTTGGATAAGGGGAATAAGCTGATCTCTGGAGTTGGTAAGGGAAATAAGCTGATCTCCAGAGTTTGATAAGGGGAATACGCTGATCTCTGGAGTTGGACAAGGGGAATAAGCTGATCTCCAGAGTTGGATAAGGGGAATAAGCTGATCTCCAGAGTTGGATAAGGGGAATACACTGATCTCCGGTGTTGGATAAGGGGAATAAGCTGATCTCTGGAGTTGGATAAGGGGAATAAGCTGATCTCTGGAGTTGGATAAGGGGAATAAGCTGATCTCCGGAGTTGGATAAGGGGAATAAGCTGATCTCTGGAGTCGGATAAGGGGAATAAGCTGATCTCTGGAGTTGGATAAGGGGAATAAGCTGATCTCCAGAGTTGGAAAAGGGGAATACACTGATCTCCAGAGTTAGATAAGGGGAATAAGCTGATCTCTGGAGTTGGATAAGGGGAATAAGCTGATCTCTGGAGTTGGTAAGGGAAATAAGCTGATCTCCAGAGTTTGATAAGGGGAATACGCTGGTCTCTGGAGTTGGATAAGGGGAATAAGCTGATCTCCAGAGTTGGATAAGGGGAATAAGCTGATCTCCAAAGTTGGATTAGGGGAATAAGCTGATCTCCGGTGTTGGATAAGGGGTATACACTGATCTCCGGGGTTGGATAAGGGGAATAAGCTGATCTCTGGAGTTGGATAAGGGGAATAAGCTGATCTCTGGAGTTGGATAAGGGGAATAAGCTGATCTCCGGAGTTGGATAAGGGGAATAAGCTGATCTCTGGAGTTGGATAAGGGGAATAAGCTGATCTCTGGAGTTGGATAAGGGGAATAAGCTGATCTCCAGAGTTGGAAAAGGGGAATACACTGATCTCCGGAGTTAGATAAGGGGAATAAGCTGATCTCAGGAGTTGGATAAGGGGAATAAGCTGATCTCTGGAGTTGGTAAAGGAAATAAGCTGATCTCCAGAGTTGGATAAGGGGAATAAGCTGATCTCCAGAGTTGGAGAAGGGGAATAAGCTGATGTCCAGAGTTGGATAAGGGGAATAAGCTGATCTCCAGAGTTGGATAAGGGGAATAAGCTGATCTCCAGAGTTGGATAAGGGGAATAAGCTGATCTCCGGAGTTGGATAAGGGGAATAAGCTGATCTCTGGAGTTAGGGGAATAAGCTGATCTCAAGAGTTGGAAAAGGGGAATACACTGATCTCCGGAGTTAGATAAGGGGAATAAGCTGATCTCTGGAGTTGGATAAGGGGAATAAGCTGATCTCTGGAGTTGGTAAGGGAAATAAGCTGATCTCCAGAGTTGGATAAGGGGAATAAGCTGATCTCCAGAGTTTGATAAGGGGAATACGCTGATCTCCAGAGTTGGATAAGGGGAATAAGCTGATCTCCAGAGTTGGATAAGGGGAATAAGCTGATCTCCGGAGTTGGATAAGGGGAATAAGCTGATCTCCAGAGTTGGAAAAGGGGAATACACTGATCTCCGGAGTTGGATAAGGGGAATAAGCTGATCTCCAGAGTTGGATAAGGAGAATAAGCTGATCTCTGGAGTTGGATAAGGGGAATAAGCTGATCTCTGGAGTTGGATAAGGGGAATAAGCTGATCCCCGGAGTTGGATAAGGGGAATAAGCTGATCTCCAGAGTTGGAAAAGGGGAATACACTGATCTCCGGAGTTGGATAAGGGGAATAAGCTGATCTCTGGAGTTGGTAAGGGGAATAAGCTGATCTCCAGAGTTGGATAAGGGGAATAAGCTGATCTCCAGAGTTGGATAAGGGGAATAAGCTGATCTCAGGAGTTGGATTAAGGGGATGTTTACAATGCACACAGCAATATTACAGTGACAATTTAAATGCTGTATTTGTGGTACAAAACTACAATTCTTAACCCTAATTTAACTATTTGTCTAAAAATGCACAACCTGAACAAATTGCAAAATTCACAGTGTTAAGGATAAGCATGTGTAGATCTAATTTTGGGAATATCGATTAATGTCACTTGGCAGATGACAAATTGATAAAAACATTTCTTACTAAGTTAATGAATAAATTAATTGATGGCGATACCAGAGATATAAAAAATGTAATGTGTATAACAGAAGTGGTGCGCATGATCGCGTGGCATGTACTGTTTAAACGATGGTGATAACTGGTAAAGTTCTATTTCTAATGTTTTGCTTCCCTTTTGTCGCGCTATAACAGAAATCTACACAAACCTTTTCTACAGACAGAAATAAACATAGTTGCTCATAGCTTCACAAAAATCAAAGTTATTGGTACTGTCAAATTAATACATGGAACATTTCAGAAATAACATGAAAAAAATGGTGATAACTGGTTGCTAGCCAGTACTAGGCAAGGATTACCAGACAATTATGACGTACCACAAACTAAACTTCTCTGGCTTGTGTTTTTACATAGAAATACATCCCCAAGTATGGCATTTGGTATGTCACTGGATGGTCAGTGAGTGATAGTGAAAAGGGAGACACCCTGCTATCCCCTGTGTTAACACAGTGGTAAATTGTTTAGGGCCCCTGACAACTTACCTCATATACACAAAAGGGTGAGTATTCTTGGGGAGGTAGGCCTGGTACACTGTATCCAAAGCCTTTCGTAGACAAGTGGAATCAACAAGGCGATCTGGAACAAATAGTAAAGAAAACTTAAACATTGTTAAAATACATTACTGAAAAGAGTGTTAGGAAAGACATTCTCACAGCGTGTCCATTAAATTGCACAATGGTGCTTATTATAGATATATAGGTTCATTGTTAAAACATTTTATTAATTTTATTCAATTTTTATTCAATTTTGTTTTCATTAACTGAAATCGTGTATGATTTTAGCAGATTGCATGGTGACCATTATTTACTGCAACCATAATCAGACTGCCGCTTTTGACACCTTGAAATGGACCATAGAGGTAAAAGGACAATTGGTATAGCAAAAATGCCATATTTGACTGATAAGTGAAAGTCCTTTTTTTCCCTGCATTGGTTATTTTTCATATTTACTGATCACTGATCAATCTATGTTAAACAATGCCATACGAAAAAACTAAACTGTGACATATGAAAGTACTACATTGGGGGGTATGTTTCTTTTGAAAACATATCATCACCCGATAGTATGCTAAAAACAAGAAATTATGTCTGTCTATGCTCTTTTTATTACAAAGTTTTACGTCTCTAAGCAGTCAGAACTATTCGCCAGATTATGACTCCGTAGTTTGTATTGAAGACAATACTGTAAATCACAAGAAAAAACTGGTTTGATGGATTGTGAATGATCTTCAGGCTACATTCATAATATCCATTACATCAAGTCATCAATCCCTAGTTCTCATGAATACTGACACTGTAACACAAACACAAATAAACATTTTTTATGCTGATTTGTTTATGTGCGTCAGAAGTGTGATCTTGTATGTCAGTGTCATCAACTTACAGATTTCAAAAACCCAGTTCGTTTGTTTAACGTTACACTCAGCTGTATTCTAGCTATATCATGGCGGCCTGTAAATAAACGAGTCTGGACCAGACAATCCAGTGATCCAAGCTGTTTGGGTACGATGACTTGTGGTCAACCAAGTCACCAGACCCATCCATAGTCACCTCATTCACCCAGAATATGTTCCTCAGGACTTATAATAATCCCTGGACACAGGGTTCTAAAACCTGTCACACTGATACATTCAGAAATGACTGAATAATGGATACATAAGATATTTCCTTGATCTTTTTATCAGATTCCCTATTTTCCCAAACATTTCAGAAGTACTTACTTTTGCTAAAATCACCTTCAATTCAGAACCTGAAACCTTGATCTCCCAGTACTTGCTTTTCTGGGTAAATCACCACGCAATTAATTCCTACAAAACATTTATTAAAAGTTTCTTGGGCTTTAAAAAAGATTTAAATTCTCAAAATGCTCTTGAACTGAATCCCTTTCCTGCTGCAGATGACGTGCTCATGACTCCCATGTCTTGTGGGCGTTCTATCCTGATTCTGGACGCAGTAAACATGTGGGTGTCTTCTTCACTGGCTGTCAACCCTCTCCTCCTGTCAGAAAACTCTGTGCATCAGCTACCTCTCACATACTCATGCTTGTTTTCAACAGGATACTCTTGCAGATCATCCATTAACACAAAAAGAGAGATTGATGTCTCTTGTAATGATGCCTTGATACAAGATACTATTTCAGAATACCGGTATACAAAAACTATTAATAAAAGGACAGGATAATCTGTCAAAGAATCTGTCAAAAGGTATACAATACAAACATTATATTCTTGTCAGTCTCAGTTGTTCTGACGCATGAGTCCGGGGTATCTGACAGTTTCGTAAAATACCTGACTGTTAACTGTAACATCAAGACATAGCTCAGTCCCAGTATTCATGCCCCTGGTAACATCAAGACATACCTCAGTCCATGTATACATGCCCCTGGTGACATCAAGACATAGCTCAGTCCCTGTATACATGGCCATGGTAACATCAAGACATAGCTCAGTCCATGTATACATGCCCCTGGTAACATCAAGTCATACATGCCCCTGGTAACATCAAAACATTGCTCAGTCCCTGTATACATGCCCCTGGTAACATCAAGACATACTTCAGTCCCTGTATACATGCCCCTGGTAACATCAAGACATACCTCAGTCCCTGTATACATGGCTCTGGTGACATCAAGACATACCTCAGTCCATGTATACATGTCCCTGGTGACATCAAGACATACCTCAGTCCCTATATACATGCCCCTGGTTACATCAAGACATACCTCAGTCCCTGTATACATGGCTCTGGTTACATCAAGACATACCTCAGTCCCTGTATACATGGCCCTGGTAACATCAAGACATACCTCAGTCCATGTATACATGCCCCTGGTAACATCAAGACATAGCTCAGTCCCTGTATACATGCCCCTGGTAACATCAAGACATACCTCAGTCCCTGTATACATGCCCCTGGTGACATCAAGACATACCTCAGTCCCTGTATACATGCCCATGGTAACATCAAGTCATACACGCCCCTGGTAACATCAAGACATACCTCAGTCCCTGTATACATGCCCCTGGTAACATCAAGACATACCTCAGTCGCTGTATACATGCCCCTGGTGACATCAAGACATACCTCAGTCCCTGTATACATGCCCATGGTAACATCAAGACATACATGCCCCTGGTAACATCAAGACATACCTCAGTCCCTGTATACATGCCCATGGTAACATCAACACATAGCTCAGTCCCTGTATACATGCCCCTGGTAACATCAAGACATACCTCAGTCCCTGTATACATGCCCCTGGTAACATCAAGACATACCTCATTCCCTTTATACATGCCCCTGGTAACATCAAGTCATACATGCCCCTGGTAACATCAAGATATAGCTCAGTCCCTGTATACATGGCTCTGGTAACATCAAGACATACCTCAGTCCCTGTATACATGGCCCTGGTAACATCAAGATATAGCTCAGTCCCTGTATACATGCCCCTGGTAACATCAAGACATACCTCAGTCCCTGTATACATGCCCCTGGTAACATCAAGACATACTTCAGCCCATGTATACATGCCCCTGGTAACATCAAGACATAGCTCATTCCCTGTATACATGCCCCTGGTAACATCAAGACATACCTCAGTCCCTGTATACATGCCCCTGGTAACATCAAGACATACCTCAGTCCCTGTATACATGCCCCTGGTAACATCAAGACATACCTCAGTCCCTGTATACATGCCCCTGGTAACATCAAGATATAGCTCAGTCCCTGTATACATGGCTCTGGTAACATCAAGACATACCTCAGTCCCTGTATACATGCCCCTGGTAACATCAAGACATAGCTCAGTCCCTGTATACATGCCCCTGGTAACATCAAGACATACCTCAGTCCCTGTATACATGCCCCTGGTAACATCAAGACATAGCTCAGTCCCTGTATACATGCCCCTGGTAACATCAAGACATACCTCAGTCCCTGTATACATGCCCCTGGTAACATCAAGACATACCTCATTCCCTGTATACATGCCCCTGGTAACATCAAGATATAGCTCAGTCCCTGTATACATGCCCCTGGTAACATCAAGACATACCTCAGTCCCTGTATACATGCCCCTGGTAACATCAAGACATACCTCAGTCCATGTATACATGCCCCTGGTGACATCAAGACATACCTCAGTCCCTGTATACATGCCCCTGGTAACATCAAGACATACCTCAGTCCCTGTATACATGCCCCTGGTAACATCAAGACATACCTCAGTCCATGTATACATGCCCCTGGTGACATCAAGACATAGCTCAGTCCCTGTATACATGCCCCTGGTAACATCAAGACATACCTCAGTCCCTGTATACATGCCCATGGTAACATCAAGACATACCTCAGTCCCTGTATACATGCCCCTGGTGACATCAAGACATACCTCAGTCCCTGTATACATGCCCCTGGTTACATCAAGACATACCTCAGTCCCTGTATACATGCCCCTGGTAACATCAAGACATACCTCAGTCCCTGTATACATGCCCCTGGTTACATCAAGACATACCTCAGTCCCTGTATACATGCCCCTGGTTACATCAAGACATACCTCAGTCCCTGTATACATGCCCATGGTAACATCAAGACATACCTCAGTCCCTGTATACATGCCCCTGGTAACATCAAGACATACCTCAGTCCCTGTATACATGCCCCTGGTAACATCAAGACATAGCTCAGTCTATGTATACATGCCCCTGGTAACATCAAGACATAGCTCAGTCCCTGTATACATGCCCCTGGTAACATCAAGACATACCTCAGTCCCTGTATACATGCCCCTGGTAACATCAAGACATACCTCAGTCCCTGTATACATGGCCCTGGTAACATCAAGATATAGCTCAGTCTATGTATACATGCCCCTGGTAACATCAAGACATACCTCAGTCCCTGTATACATGCCCCTGGTAACATCAAGACATACCTCAGTCCCTGTATACATGCCCCTGGTTACATCAAGATATACCTCAGTCCCTGTATACATGCCCCTGGTAACATCAAGACATACATGCCCCTGGTAACATCAAGACATACCTCAGTCCCTGTATACATGCCCCTGGTAACATCAAGACATACATGCCCCTGGTAACATCAAGTCATACATGCCCCTGGTAACATCAAGTCATACATGCCCCTGGTAACATCAAGACATACCTCAGTCCCTGTATACATGCCCCTGGTATAATTATGTAATTAAAGTCATTGAAACAAAAAAAATGCATTTCCCAAAGCCACAAACGTTTCTAAGCTGTAACAGATGTAGACCTGCACAAGATATTCTTCACAACACATCGCTGTCAGTGTCAGATATCGGGAACATGTTAACCTCACACAATGTTGATCAATTGCAGCCAAAGTCCAGGAGGTGAAATGTGCAACAACAGGGTCGCACATAGGGGATGTTCCATTTACAGCCCTTGTTGGGATTTTAGCACATACTTACCAATCATAACCTGAGACCTTTATGACATGTCTATGGTATGTTTAATACCAACCAATCACCCTCATCAACTGACATGCAACAGAATCTGTGATGTGACAGTTTGCGTGCACATTATA